AAGCGAAATTATTGCAACTATTGCAAGAAGGCTGGTCACATCGTGCTCGAGTGTCCCACGCTCACAAAACGGGGCAAGGTTCGGTTTCCTACCTATGCTACGTCCACCGGCAGCTCCTCTATGACTGGTCGATCCTCATCAAAGCCTCAAGGGGCTGCGTATGCTGTCTCCGAGCCATCTCCACCTGTTTCAAGGTCATCCGCTGGTGGGGAGTCTCCTCCTTCTCCCCTGACTTTGTCCGGAAAATGGTCAATGAGGCATTGCAAGAGGCGCTTCCGCAGGCGCTGACCTCCGCCTTTGCCTCAGGCATATTTTCTGGTAAGTCTGCTAAATGGTTATTAGACTCTGGTGCGTTCAATCACATGACATATGCCCGTCATACGTTTGATAAGCTCGAATCGGTTTCAACTTTACATTTGGGGGTGGCTAATGGGGATCGAATTCCTGTAGCTGGTCGGGGTACTTCGTCTTTGGGCTCAGTAACTCTACCTGATACATTATATGTTCCCAATTTAATGCCCAATCTCGTCTATGTCGGGCAATTAGCTGAGACTGGCTGTGATGTTACGTTTAATTCAACCGGTTGTGTGGTACAAGACCAGAGGACGGGGATGGTGATCGGGAAGGGAAGTAAGCAAGGGCGAGTCTATGTGTTGAATGAACTTGGTCAAGTTCCTAAAGCTACTGCTGATGTTTCGGATCCGTCGGAGGGAAATCTATATAAGAATTCTGTTTTTGGGTCTTTGTCCGGGAACTCAGTAAATTCGGTTGATTTTTCAAAGAATTAGTCTGTTTGGAATTTATGGCATTGTCGTTTAGGCCATTTGCATTCTGCATGATTGTTAACGATGTTTCGTCAGAAATTATTGCCAGGAAGAATTGATTCGGCTTTTGGGTCTCGATCTGATTGTATTAGCTGCATTAAAGCTAAGGCTTCTCAAAGTTCTTTTTCTTCTAGTGAGACTATTTATGCTTAACCGTTTGATCTTGTTCCAACTGATTTGTGGGATCCCTCTCCGGTTACCTCGGGTTTGGGTTTTAAGTACTTTTCCGTTGTCTATTGATCATAAAACGCGGTATGCTTGGGTGTTCTTTCTGAGGCAAAAATCGGAATTATGCTCGATTGCTAAGGAGTTTGTACAACTCATTAAGACACAATTTGGTAAGACCATTAAAGTAATTCGTTCTGATGAAGGTGGTGAATTTACTAAACATGAATTGCTCGAGTTTTATAAATTCGAAGGTATTCTACCTCAGATGTCTTGTCCAGGCGTGTCTCAGCAGAATGGTCTTGTGGAGCGTAAACACCGACATGTCTTGGAATTGACACGGGCATTACTGTTTCACTCACATGTTCCTAGTGGTTATTTGGTGGAAGGGACTCAGGCTTTGGAAGCAAATGGAACGTGGAAACTTGTTCTTAGACAGCCCGGTATGTCTGTAATTGGATGTCGTTGGATATATACAATAAAGATTAATCCACATGGAACGATTGAAAGATTAAAGGCACGGCTGGTTGCTCGAGGTTTTCTCCAAGAATATGACATTGATTATGATGAAATGTTTGCACCAGTTGCTAAAAGGCAAACGGTTCGTTGTATTTTTGTTGTGGCAGCAATGAAGGGTTGGCCTCTTTTTCATTTAGACGTGAAGAACTCATTTCTTCATGATGACCTAAAAGAAACCATATATGGAGAGACCACCAGGATACACTAAGGTTTCATCTAATATGGTTTGTCAGCTGGTTCGTTCTCTATATGGCCTCAAACAAGCTCCACGAGCTTGGTTTGAAAAATTCCATAGTACTATTGTACAGTTGGGGTTTGAGCAGAGCTAGAATGATCCATCCTTGTTTGTGCGAAATACAGCAGAAGGTGTGGTTATTTTGTTGATTTATGTAGATGTATGATCATCTGAGGCAGTGTTTCAGCAGGAATTCAGGAGTTGAAGGATTCTCTACATGAAGCCTTCAATATGAAGGATTTGGGTGATGTATCCTACATTCCTACTTCCTTGGATTGGAAGTTCAGAGATCAGATAAAGATGTCTTTGTTTCTCAGAAGAAGTACATTGCAGACCTTCTCGAGACAACACAGTATGCCGACTGCAAGCCTTGTTCTACTCCAATGGAACAAAATATTAAGCTGCGAAAGGACAATGGAGATTTGATAGAAGACCAATCTTTGTATCGCAGTATCGTGGGAAGCTTGATATATCTAGTTCACACACGTCCAGATATTGCATACTCTGTGCAGGTTGTGAGCCAGTACTTGGGTGTGGCTCGTGAACAACACCGAGATGCAGTGCACAGAATACTTAGATATCTCAAGCATACTCAGGATGTCGGTATGTTCTTTCCAGCAGGCGGAGATGCTGTCTTGGAAGCATATGCAGATGCAGACTATGCAGGGTGTCAGGATACCAGACGGTCAACTTCAGGATGGTGCATCAAAGTGGGAAACTCATTTGTCTCATGGAGGTGTAAGAAGCAAGAGTGAGTTTCCAAATCATCGACAGAAGCATAATATCGATCTATGTCAGAGGTTAGCTCAGAAATGGTTTGGTTACAGCGCTTGCTAGGAGAATTGGGTGTTGATTGCAGCATACCCATGAAACTGTTTGGCGACAACACAAGTGCTATACAAATAGCTCTCAACCCAGTACTACATGATAGAACAAAACATATAGAGGTTCATATTCACTACATCAGACAGCTTGTTGCATAAGGGAGAATTCAGCTAAATCATTTGTCGACGGATGATCAGACTGCAGACCTATTGACTAAGGCATTAGCTTCAAGCCGACATTGGTACTTATCAGCCAAATTGATGTTATGTACCCAACATCAATTTGAGGGAGGGTGTTGAAAATATAAGTACCAAAAATGTAATTGTACATATTACGACCTTAGTCCTTAGGGTTTATGAATCCTCTATATATATGTATATGGCTCGTGTATGCTAAGTAACAAGAAGAATAAGATTGACTTGGAGAGCTTGCTCTCCCGTGGACTAGTCCTGTTAATCAGGGAAACCACGTTAAACCCGGTGTTCTTGTTCTATTGTTTGATTTTGACATAGTTCCATATCAATCAAATAAATCAAAGGTTTATATACACCAACGTCTTTCGCTCGCTTGTGAGTTACAAGCAAAACCCTTAAATCGTGGGTTACGATTCATCATGCTTTCACTTAATACTATTTGGTGTATCCTATTTTCTTTATTTTAATTCTTATAATAACATGATAATTTGCGAATCCATTTTTATGTTCATTTTGATATTTGGAAAAGATAATTAGATCTTTTCATTGAGGTGCTAATTGTGCATGAATGATGTTTATCATATGGTAAATAAACATCTACATGATGGTACTATAAATTACACATTCACAAAGAGCACTGTATACTATCAAGATATTAAGGATGATGATTGATGTGCATTTCAGTAAGTACCGTTTTTAGAAATATTTTAAACTCTATTGTAATATTGAAAGAGAGTATGATTTCCCCTCTTCTAATCTCACATGTCCTAATACCAACTATTAATAACTTTCAGAAAGGGCATATTTTCATATGGAGTTATGGACCGATAAATGTTGTTGGTCCATTGCTCTCAATGTGGCATCAGTTTATTTAAAATCTTTGCTCCAAAGGAAGGAAATGGTTTTGCTTTCCCTTTATCTAGCTATTTCTTAACCCCCCAAAAGGCCTAATCTTTTGTCCCTTTTTCTAGCATTCTTTCTCTTCCCCATTAGTGTACTTTACCGTATAAGCTTATAGCTCCAGCTTCCGAGGGAGATCTTCTCATCATTCATCAACACCACATTGGCAAAGCGAGCTGTACGCTTTCAGCTCCAAACCAACACCTGCAGCACTCCATTGAAGGAAAAGTCACCATCCAAGCACAAAAATCCCCCCCACCAAACATAACACCAGATGTCCAGTTGTGCGATTCCCATTTGGCAGCAGGAAGAAGAAGAAGAAGAAGAAGAAGAAGAAGAAGCAGCTTTTATCAGCATCACATGATTGGCTGAAGAAACCCTGAACCATGCCACATGTTTTCTTGAGATTGAAGCAAAACCCACCAAATGGCACAGCCTTGCTTGCTACCTATAGGTCGAGAGAACCCCCCCCCCCCCCCCCCCCCCAAAAAAAGAGAGAGAGATAGAGAGAGAGAGAGAGAGAACAACATGCCTTGTCCAGCACTCATTCTGTTGGCTCATCAGTTGGTGTTGGAGGCAGTTGAGGGTCCAAAACCAAACCCATTATAGCTGTGCTCTCTCTCTCACTCTCACAAGGCCAAAACCACAACAATTAATACCCAAAAATATGTCCTAAACAAGAAGGTTTTACTGGGTTTGGAAATACCACAAGCTCTGCCTTCAGGCCATGGCCCAAAAGAGGACCTGACTCACTCACTTCCTTTCATCATTTCACTCTGACACTTCAAATGTGTAATCATTGATCTGGGGTAGTTGCATGATTGCTCCTCGCAACCCCCATTTTGTCAGCTTGTAGCCAATCCAGGAAGCAAAGTAAATGTACAAATATATTGCTAGTTTGCTACAATAAGTTACCATAAAGAAACCCAAAAAAGTCTTGATGAATTTTGCCACAGGAAGAAATGAATCTTGCCAATGTACATCCATAATAGAACAGAACAAGATGATGGAACAGAGAAACTTGACTGCTGCTACTGCTGCTATCATTTTTAGTAGTAGAGAGCCCCCCATGTTTATTTCTGGTGGAACTGAATTTTGGACAATAGTAGTAGAGCTAAAAGAAGTAAAAAGGGGAGGGTGGGCTAATAAATCTAAGTACATGAAAGAATTAGGGAAACCCAAACTCAAAAAAATGGTGAAAATGAAAGGGAGAAAAAAAAATGTGTCACAAACCCAAGAGAAAGCACATCCACACACAAAGAACAAGGCACAATAGGGGGGAAAATAGAACAAAGTACTACTGCGGGGATAGAACTTGCTTGGTGCTGCTGATCAATCTCAACCGAAGAAATCCCATGGGAACTTTGGTTGATTATGGGCTGAATTATTGTTGCCTGCTGCCGGAGGAACTGCAGCCGACGATGTCCCTGGTGTTGAATCAAATGTTTCCCATTGTGTGGTAACAACCACCGGCGCGGCGGAAGTCGAATGCTTTGATGACTGCTGCTGTTCTTGTTGATGCTGGTATGCCGTGGGATGGCGAACTGAGCGCACGTGATGCTGCTGCTGCTGCTGTTGCTGTTGTTGGTGGTCGCCATTGGAGTACCTTGGTGGATGTTCCTCGATCGGAGCTAACCTATGTCCATTGCTTTGCTTGTGTTGATGGTGGTTTGATTTGCTGTGGTGGGTTCCATTGCCGTTTGCCAAAGATGAGTTCTTGACCTTCAACATGTCTAATGTCTCAACATACTTCTGAACTCTTTTCACCTGTACAATTTTAACCAAATTGAAGTCAAATGGGAACTCAAAACAGGACTAATTTTTCTAAAGTTTGGAGCTTTTGATGGATCGAAAATTTTAAACTCCTTTCACCTGCAACTTCCTCTGCAGTTTGACATCTCCATCACCCATAATTCCGTCCAACTTCAGCAGCTCGTTCATCAACAATTCGATCAAGCTCAAAACATCCTTCTCCGCTACCTTCCCACCTTTACTAATCACTGATTCGAGAGCCGAAACCTATAAGAAACCCACCAAATTCAACGCCCGGATTAGTGTTTTCCTAATCGAATTATCTGCAATCGGTGGAAGAAGATGATCAAAAGAGAAAAAAAGGTTACATACCCGACCAGCGAGGCGGTCGACTTCCAAGCTGATCTCGGAGATGGACTTGGAAGCTTTCTCCATCTTGGCATTCTTTCTCATCTCAAGGTAACGCTTCTCCTGGCTAATTGGGTCTTCAAGCAGCACCATTTTGGACTTGTCTTTCACCCCTGTCATATCCAGGAAAGCCTTGGAGTCCCTCTCTTTGTCTTTGTAAATCAGCTTCTGGTCTTGATGGTGTAGCCCAGTCGGTCCGGTCAACATCTTCTTCAGCTCCCCTGTTTTTTTTTTTTTTTCCCCACACCCAATTCAGCCAAAACCCAAATCGAAACCGGAAAGACGGGAGAGAAAAAGAAAGGGAGAAAGGCGAGATTTTTACTTACCGAAAGAAGCTTGAGAGCTGATGTTGATTTCGTGGTAGGTTGAACCCGTACTTGACCCGGACCCGAATTGTCCGGTGGAGGAATGGACCTGTGATCGGAATCTGGGTTTCGCTTCTGAACCAGCATTCCGCCGGGTCTCATCTCCCACTCTGCTCCCATGGAATCTGGTGAGCCCCCAGCCGCCGTCGGTGGTTTATTCTTCATTCTCATCATCTCTTCTTCTTTTGGCTGCCTCTGCCGCCGGTTACAAGGAAAACAAACACCACAAACCCCAAAAAAGGAAATTATGGCAGATTCCTCTGCAACTTCAGATCTCTAGGAAGGAACTGATTTTCCCCCGAATCCACTCGATCTCGAACAGAAATCAGAGCGGCAAAGAAGATAAGAATAGGGAGGAAGGGGAATTTAATTTCCCCTGTTCTGGAAAAGGTTTGACTCTTCTTCTTCTTCTACCCAGCAGCAGCATTACACGAATCCCAGCCCCGACCGCCACGCGTAGGTTTAGGCGTAACTCCCTACTTCCCTTTCTCTACTTCTCCTCCTACGACGTCGTCGCAAAATCAACGGCGAGAGAAAGCAAACTGAATCTCCGATTTCCCGGGGGGTAATTCAAAGGGTAACTGAAGCCTGCCTCGCCGGAAAAGGAAGGAAGACAAAACGACGGCAATCGGCGGATCTCGGGGGAGGCTCCGAATGTGGTAACCGGCGAACAAATAGGGAGGAAGGAGTGGCAGGTATCTATTATTTATTTACCTCTCAAAAAAGAGTCCCCGGCGGCGAAGAGTAAGTCGCCGGAGAAATCAATGGGAGATTGAATAATAATAATAATAATAACAAAGAAATGGGGAAAAGAAATTTGTGAGACAGAAGTGGAAATCGAAATCCCACAACTGTAGACTTCCAGAGATTCTCTCCCTCTCTCTGTGAGAGGATTGCTGGTCTGGAGATTTCGCGGAGGAACAGAGGGAAAGATGGACAAACAGAGAGAGAGAGAGGAAAGGAAAGGGGGAAATGAAGAAGTAACTATAAAAAATAAAAAAAACGAGTGGACGGCTAACTGAGCTGTTCTTGTTCTGACTTGTGAGCTATATATATACGTATATTCCCCCTCTTATTTTAATAGAAAAAAGGAAATTGATTATTGACGCGTATTATTGCTTAATTATTAATTATCTGAAGAAGAAGAAAAAAAACCTACAGAAGCCGCCAGACGCCCAATCAACTCCACTGTTATTTAGCTCTGAGCTGAAACCCTAACCTACTAACTACTAAGTGCTAACTACGTTTAACCGCCGTGATTTTGTCAATACAATTGACCGCTGAACCTTCTCTGTTGTCGCCACAGTTAAATTCTATCTTATTACGCGTCGATACATAATGGATAATGAATTTTGGAATAACTAATATATGATTTTGTATTTTATATCTAAATGGTCAAGTGGTCTTATAGTTGATTTTCAATCTAGACCTCCCAAATTTGAATCTCAGAGACGACGCTTGTTTCCATTTTCCCCGCCCCTCTAGTATCACACATCAACAGGTTTCAATAAAAAAAAAAACTCAAATTAGCGATCACAAGCTCACATGGTCTCTCTTCCGTTGACATTGATAAGCTTATTTTAATCTGTATACAGTCAAAACCAAATTCATTACCATGACCAGTTCAAATCCACATCATAAATGTCGATATTATTCTTTAATATCGTCTATTAATTAAACGAATTCAAGTTCATTTTTCGTATTGACCTAAGTGAGTTTACACTCCTATTATATGATGAAATTGACGCAGTAACATGAAAAGTGCAAACCAAACTTGGAAGAGTTGGCAGGAAGCTCTCTCTAGTTCGAATTAGCTCTCCCCTCTCTCTATCTTTCTAGATTTCTCCTTTGAACTTCTCATGCCCGTTAGCCGTCACTTTAGTACTCCTTTGGTATCTGTGATAGTTTCTATTGTTGGTTTAGTTCAATCTTTCTCGATCGTTATTGTGACTTTCTTTCGATGGAATTGTTCTTCCAGACATTAGAGTTCCATTATCATTTTGTTCCAATTTTTATATGTAATCTACTTCTTGTAACCGTGATTTTGATAATTGTTTCAGTCAAGAAACAAGGGAGCTCCCGATCTGTGAAAGGGCGGGGGTGGCCCCCTTTATCTACACTCCAACGATCAACATTAGTATAGTGATAGAGAAACATGGAGAACATGTATAGAGAGAGATAGTGTAGAGAGAGAAGTGGTATGCCAAAGTGAGAAGAGGAGAAGAAGAGATCCCTTACTTGGAGTGCTTAGTAGTGTATTTATAAGCCAAGCTTGCCTTCTTCATGTGGGCTTTAGTTGTAGGATCATGAAGATATTTTGTGGGTTTGGGCCCATACATACTTGATGGATTGTAGTTGTGGTTTGGGCTGGGCTAAGCCATGTTTAATGGCCCAACAATAATATAATATAAGCGTATTCAACTTGTAAAAAGCACATAGAAAAAAAGTTGGATCAAATTGACGAGAATGTGTAGATTAATGTATAATTAGTTTAAAAAGAGAGTTTAATCACTCGGATGGTGATACCCGAAATTAAGTAATGATGTAATTGAGGCATCACCGAATTCTTACGTGATAAACTGATAATTAGAGAGAAGCAATTCGTTGGTTTGGGATGAAATATTGAGAGGGTGAATGATCACGTAGGTGATGGCGCACCGAATCTCGGTACGGAGGCACATTCGTGGAGGCCCACGTGTGAAGAGAGAGAGGGGCAAGTAGGGGAATTCTGGCGAGCCCTAGACCTAATCATTGTGGGGGCCGTCTCAAATGAGTGCGTGGTGGTTGCCAAGAGTAGAGTAGGACTGGTTACACGTGGCAGTCAAATGTGGCGAGTGCTGAGCTGTCTCGGTGTGTATCTGTATCAGCGAAGCCAAACCAGTAGGTAAAATGATTCGTCAGAAAGTCTTTGCTTGTTTGTTGGGTTTGGTTTGAGCCTTCAAGGCTTCAAGCTCTCTGCTCCGTCGCCGGAAGTGCGGTCGGAACTGCCGGTTCCTTTTACTGCGCTGTCGTTTCGATGTCCGTACAGGAAAGAAGCAAGTGAACGCGACGGGATCAGTGACGTAGACCTTCCAACATAAACGGTGCGTTTAACCGAGGGTAGCGTGGATGCTAATTAATTGGGTTATAGGTATAATATGCGGGCCTCTACTATGACGTTTTATCAAACATGTCATTCTACTATTTTTTACATTAAATATGCCCCTGTACTTTGAAAAAGTTATCAAACATGCCCTTCTGTTAAAATTTCCATTGAAATAATCGTCAATCATGGTTGAACCGAGATTTAGACGGTCCGACATCGACAAATGGGAGGAAAAATGTCAGTTTTGTCCCCTGTTTTATTTCCCTGGGTCTTTTAAAGTGAAATTATTTGAATGATTTGATTATACAAAAGAACCAAATAAATTCTAAAGTGAATTTATCGGGGATATTTTAGTCATTTGTGTCTCCCAAACTAAAGTTCGGCCTTGGTTAACGGTTTTTGGATGAAAATTTTAACAAAATGACATGTTTGATCATTTTTACAAAGTACAGGGGCATGTTTGATGTAAAAAATAGTAAATGGGCATGTTTGATAAAACGTCATAGTAGAGGGGCATATTATACCTATAATCCTAATTAATTAAGCTTTTTGTAAGTTTTGGCAAATAAACAAATTAATTAATTATTGCAAGTGGGGTTGTCACGGAATAAATAAACTATAATCCTTCCAAAGATGAAGAGCAAGTGGGTTGAATAGGATGGTTAGGCTGTCTGTCCACGTATGATATGATATGATATATGGGTCCAAAATTGATAAGAAAAATGTGAAGTCAATATCAACAAACGTGGATTTTGGCTAATCTAGCTAGCTAGTGGCCTTTCACCTTTGCGATAATCAAATGGAACTATTTCCATCTTGCATGCAAATTGAAAAGAGTAAAAAGAGATTTTCTTTTTCTTTTATGAATGATGAGATTGATTAACAACAAAAATAAAGAAAAAAAAATAAATTAAAACAAACTCCGATATAAAATCAAGAGAAAAAAAACTCGAAAAAATCAGGCAAATCAACCAAAATTACTCAACGAGTACAAACAAAAAAACTAGTATGCTAACTCGCAAGATTGGTGGCAAAAAACTAGGACGAGAAGAAAGGGAGAAAAATCGCTTCACGTACAAATACCCACAAAAAAATTATCATGTAGAGTGGTGGTAATCTACAATTATAGCGAAAGGCAAGTCATTTTTAGCAAACTAAAATTTGTTACTTCTTTTAGTTTATTGAAGCTGTTTCATCCTTGTTGAAGTGCTTTGATAATCTCGTTTTAATTCCTCGATCGTGAAAATCAAAAACCAAATTTCATATACGAAGGAGATCATCAGTTTGTTATGTCTTATTTCTGTTTCGTTCACTTCCAATTTGTGGGGGGAAAAAAACCCTAATAAAAGTATAAAACTAGCTTATGAAAGGCCTTTGTAATTTACGGGTGGGTGTGCTGTGCTCTCTTGTTCCAATGTATTGTAAACTCTTAAGATGACAAAATAAAATAAAAAATACTGGGAAATAAAATAAAAAACTCGAAAGCCCAGAACCGGAAAAAGGAACAGCAGCAGCAGCAACAGTGGCAGAGTTCGAGAAATTCCTCTCCCCTCCCTCCGTTTCTTTCTTTCGCCAGTCACCAGCAACAGTTACTACTGTCAAACAGACAGTTGAACCTCTTTCTCTCTCTTGATTCAAATTTCCCTGCTCTCTCTTTTTTTCCAGTCTCCCAGGGCTGCCGCCGGCACATCTTGGTGATCGGCGGTAGCCCAATCCTCTTTCTCTTTTTCACTTTCCGTTCGTGCCCCCGTCCTCTTCCTTTGTGATTTCTTGTCTTTCCTTGCCATCTATGGCAATTTTCAGCCGTTGTGGCATTTTGCAGCCGTTGTGGCTTCTCTCGTTCCCTAAGTGGTTCTTTCCACATTCCTCTCGTTAGGAGAAGGATTTGTCAGGTTTCCTCAAGTGATCTTCTAGATCTGGTTGGCTCTGCTCTGTTCTGGGTTCAGAGGATGCAGATTGGGTTTCTATCCAAGCTTGGTGTGGTCATCTTCTCATCCTTAAGGGTGATTGCATTCACCGATTCCCCATCCGTCGTCGCTCCTTGATGCTTCGACTGACTGTAGTGGAAGCGGTGTCTCCTTCGATTGCTGAAGCGGGTGATCTTTGGTTGCTGTAGTTTTGAGATTCATACAGGGTTACGGTTGTTTCAGTTTTTGTGTGTTGTTGGGAGTGTGTGTGTGGCTGGGGCTGCTTCTTTGGGTTCTGGGTTTGGGTTTGTTTTGGGGGTTCTCTGCTGGCGTTTGGTTTTGCAGGTGGCTTCTCTTCTCGGTTCTGCTTTTGTGTGGTTGTCTTTCAACCCTTGGGTGAATCTCACACTACTTTGTCATGGCTCTCTCCGCTCCGGTCCCGTTGGCCTTGTTTTTCAGCTCTGAGCAGCCCGTTCACAGTCCTTTCCACCGCCGCGCAATCCCTATTCGGCGATTCACTGTGATGGGTGTCTTTGAACAACCCCCAGCAGGCGGCATATGATTTAGCAATGCCCTTTATCATGGTCAAGACTGGTTTTGGGTGAGCTGAAGCTGCTGTGTTCCACTCCGGTTGATGTGATTACAAAGTTTGCTGCTTCCTTTGTTTTGGCTCATGGAAGGATCCCCTTGTTGTTTATGTTCTTGTTGTGTTGCCTTCTGCCTTTTTGGCTTTTGCTTTCCTTGTTAGTGTTCTCTGGATGTTTGATGTTCTTTACTGTTTGGTTTGGATTTTCTTTCTTGTTTGGGGTTTTCTTTCTTGATGCTGGAGTTCAGGGGTTTTCCTCTTCTTTGTAACCGTGTTCTTTCCAAGTGAAATACAAGCAACATCTTTGTAAAAAAAAAAAAAAACCAGCAACAGTTGACGACACGGGCTAGGGGCAGTCAAATTCCACGTGGCGAGCATCGGTGGACTCAAAATCAGCACGCAGACAGAATCTAGGGTCCCTCCTTCGATTTCACGGTCTTGTGTAATCTCTCTTTTACCTTTTTCACTGTTCTGACTTTCGATTAATCTCTGTGCGTCTGCTTTTTTTACGTACAACACGGACACTCTTCTCCAGTTCTGACTTTTACTCCACCGACACTTCCACACGTATGAGCCGCACGCACGCTTGGCTTGGGTGACAGTCAAAAATTCAAAATTCCCCGAATGGGGTAACTTTTCGACCGGAGGACGAAGAAGCCCTCGCACGTGCGATGGAGGCAGTCTCCGTCGATTCGTGCCAGTTGATGGTATTTGACTGTTCTCCGGCGATTGGGTGGGATTGGAGAAGGCCGGTGGGATGGGATTACGATTAAGACAGTGTAACCTCCTACTGATCCGATTAGAAGGAAATTTCGTGCAAAATGATGTTGTGGGACTGGGGATTTGATTAATTAAGTTCATTGCATTAAACCGCAGATGATACATAATCTTGATTTGTCGATTGTTAATTAGTTCTTGTCCCTATACAAGAAAAAACACAAAAAGTCAGTTTCCTTTTACTCTTGTGTTGATTACAGAAAATTAGGGATGGTGGGTGGGGTATGGGTGGGCAAACGGTTCGGTAAACCCGAATCGAACCAAAATCGAATTAAACTGGGGGGCTGCCGGAGTATAGAGGAAAGTGTGCAGAACATGCACGTGTGATAATCCAAACGGATATTTACGTGTTGGTATATTGTGAAACGTGGTAATTGTCAACGAATATCGCATTTACACAATATGCATTTCGAACTACCCATGCATATTTTGTGTAGAATCTAGGTAGACTAATTAAACTCTGATTGAGTTATGTATTGGCTCTTCGTCACACGACGCTATATTGCGTAATAAGCTATTGATATATATTTTGTTCGAAATTAAAGAATGTTTCTAAATGATCAAGCTAGTATTTGTGGGTATCAGAACCGATTGAGTATTGTAAAAAACATTTAAAACATTTGCATATTGGGTAGCTGATAGACCTTGTAATCTTTGAACACCAATGCCTTTTGCTTTCTACCAAAGACGAACAAGAAGAAATGGATATTCATTCTCTCTTCTCTAACTACATTAATTCGTCATAGTATCATGAAGATGAAGTAATCGACCTTTGTTACGAAGAACATTAAAATTTTCAATGGCAGATCCATGTTTTAGCTACAGCTAACAACCCTACTAATCATGTTATATATATATATATATTATATATATATATATATATAATTAAAAAAATATTATGCATATTCTCCTGCAACCTTGCTAGCTATACCGCTAACAACAATATATTCCCCTGTCTACCAAGCTAGCTAAGATATATAGCCACAAAATGTACAACAACATACATCACAATTTTCCATCATAATTAAGTAAACAAATTAAAAATATGCTGGGATTTTTATTCATTGCCAAGCAACAATTACTAGACAAACAGAGCTAATATATTAAAAAAGCATAATACTCCTCCGATCCCCCCTAGGGCTGGGAGGGGAACTAATAGAAATTAAGAGAGTTAATCATTGAGAAGTGCTATAATTAAAAAAATTAAGTGGTCAGTTAGAAGATTTAATTAAAAGGGCAGGTTTTGCTGTTGGATTAGGAACCTAAGAACCTGGAACAAACTGGGTTGTTCTTGAACATCAATTTTATTTTACAGAAACCAGTTGGGTCGCCAATGGTTTCATGTGACTTGGTCAAAAACAGCCAGCACGTGGTTGTATGTTCTTGTCCCTCCGTTTTGGACTTGGGATTAAAACTTAATTAATTCTCTTTTAATCACGACTTTAAGTTATGAAATTATGGCTAATTGAATTCCTTTTGGTGATCATTTCGACGTTTAGATCTGAATATAATAATAATGTTCCATCTAATATAATGCAATGTAATAGGGAACTGAGGGAGGAGCAAGCAAGGAACCTGTTGTCTGTTCCATTGTTTCGAGGATTACGTCTTTTTTGCTATTTTCAGTTCAAAGAACGTTGAACCAAAGACAACAACACCAACAATTCGAGGAGCCCATTATCCCAACTTTTTTTTTTTTTTTTTTCCAAGAAATGTCAAGAAAGAACCTATACACACTACCCAAACCCTGCCCCACCCGTACAAAAACGAAGCCAATCCACAAAGTCAAAAGAAGACAACTCTAAAGGGGAGAGAAACAGGGCTTTCTGCGCCACTCTATGGGCAGCCCTGTTCGCAGCCCGGGGGATTGCCCTAAACTCTAAGGAAACAGACACTGAAGATAAGAGAAGAAAGCAATCCCGAAGCACCGGTCCTCCAATGGAATCGGATAACACGCCACGACGCAGCTGATTAATCACCACCTCTGAATCTCCTTCAATGATGACCCGGGAGAGCGACCTGGAGACCACAAGGAAAATGGCGGCTCTAGCAGCAAGGAGTTCTGCAAGGTAGGGATCAGCAATACCAGGGTGAAGAGCACCTACAGCCAGCTCCACCCGCCCGTCTGAACCACGTAACACAAGACCAGACGAGCAACCAGAGGAGCGAACAGCAGCATCAAAGTTAACCTTCAGAGAGCCAACAGGAGGAGGGGACCAGGAAGAGCGACGAGAGAGGGACGGCTGGAGCAGGGGAGCAGGGACCAAAGGGAGGGAGGAAGACAATTCTTGAACTTGGAAAAAACACTGACGAGCTAGAGACTGGGCAAGAGGCTGGACATGTTCAAAGACCACCTTATTTCTAGACTTCCAGATCCCAACTTTGATTAATATTATTATTCACATTTATAATAAATTAAAAATAACGGTTATTCGATCAATGACCTTAATACAGACAACCAATTCTTATGGCCTCATTGATTTAATTAGTTTGCTACGATAGTTTTAATTTATGCTATGGATGGTAGTTCAAATGGACACTTCCTTAACCTTCCCTTTTACAGGAAAGTTCCATAGTCGATGACCTGATACCAGATCATCCCCTTTTATTTTGGTTAACTCCATACTCTTCACTTCTTAAGCTTTAAGTTACTAACAAATTCTTATTTTGTAGTGTTGATGGTACCTCACCACGAAGTTGAAGGATGAACAAACTTTCCAATTCAATGGGGTTCAATCACTTTTAGTGAGCAAACATTTCTAGGTGATGTGGGTTTTCATAGTTTACGAAGTTGTAACGTCTCGTACTGGCGGAACTAGGCTAAAGTTATAAGAGGTCATAATCCCCTTCAACTTTGAAATAGGTGAAATCGATAAGGTCTCAACTCTCTCTCTCTCTCTCTCTCTCTCTCTCTCTCTCTCTCTCTCTCTCCAATTATCACAATTCAAATCAGCCTCTCTCTCGTAGTCTCGTTCAGATTTCTGACTCCGTTTCATTGACATTTTGTACAAATACTTGTTTCAAATATATAAAGTATAAACGAGAGGAGTTTGTTTCGTCCAAACAACATTTTCAACTTAAAATGTAAGAAAATGAAAAATTACTCAGGGGAAAACTCATTTAGTATACTCTTGTACGACAAGTTGTATTAGTGTTGGTGCTAGTGGTTAATAATATAATGGTTACTTGAAGGAGATTTTTTTTTTTTTTTATAATGGCAATGATTTTATTAAACAAAGAAAGAGGTACAAAGAAAGGAACTAAACACAACAAAAGATGGATCAAAATAGCTTGATCCAAAAAAGAAACTCACCAGCAAGGAAGGAACAGCAAAGGGAGAGTAAAGAGGGACCAGAAGCTGTTGAAGGGAGATTTATCACACTCATGAACTACACAATGTTGTCATTGGCCAACTTTGTAAAACTACCAGTCTAGTACCATAACGGTTACTAATGATCGTTGTTTCTCCCCAAAAAATTTTACTAGTTCAATCTTCATTAAATATTTTGAATATTTTCATCAATAATCAAGTGAAATGACAAGGGAAAGTGATATTTGATGGGGGAAATAGTGATAGAAAATATATCCTTTGCTCTATAGCTAACTCGAAAGTGGCCGTCCATTTGCAATTACAGGATTGACGTGTAGTGTAATGCCAGTGTTATCTCTTTATCTCCAAAGTCAAAATTATTTCCTCCAATAGCCCTAGCTTAGCTATAGTTCACCTGTCAATTGTGGATAATATATAAACTAAATACACTGTCTTAAACAATGAACATAAATAGTAATCCTATGTTCTCTCCCTCCTAAGCATGGAATGATTTCTAATACTAATGTGTAATACAAAAATATATAGACTAAATCAAGTACACCTATCGTGATTGCGACAGGATATCGATAGATGTGACTATCAATGTCATCTAACTCGCTCGTCGATTCAAGATGCTCATCAATCGTAGGCATGGCTGGGAAGTCCGAAACAACTATACCTACCACGAAGCCAGTGATGCAGATGGTTTTCCTGCTAATTTGGGTCATAATCTTCATTGTAGTAATGTGAGGTTCTGATGCTATATCGCCTATACTGTGATGTTCAAAGAGTCTGTGAGTCCCGTTTCAATTAATACTACAAGCCGGGGTGCCCTGTTGCACTTTGATTTCTATACATAAAAAAAAAGAAACTAAATAATCGGTTATGAAATTGTATAATCTATAGGTATGACATAATACTTTGGTAAGAATGTAACAACAATGCACGTTGTTTGATAAACCTTGACAATTAAAGGGTGTAACTGAATTTTTTTTTGGTTTCGTTTGAACTACAACATCATATAAATTGCAGCCTTACGGAAAATATGTTCATTGATAACTGTAGTGACACAGATCCAAATCATAGAGACTACCACCTATTTTTCCCAGATTCAAACTATTGCCAGTGAATCAATAATTTCCCCAAATTTTAGGAGTGTGTAAAGAAATTGAGAGCAACAAAACTATAAAGACACGAAATGTGGGTTAAAGTAAAATGAGAATCAAGAAAGAGATAATCATATAGATATCATGTCATGTTGGAGGAGGAGATGAGAGCACAAAGTTTTTGCAATTCCTAGCTAGGATTTGTAATATAATGTGACTCAAATCAAAATGATATTCCTGCAAATAATTAATTATCATGAAGCAAACCCTACCCAGATTGGCCTTTTTGGCCCCAAAATTTCCTTTCCCCCATCATTACCCTTATGTGCCCTTAATGTGCTGTCCCGATCAATTATGTTTAAATCCCCCACTGAAAACCTACTAAGAATGGACAAACAATTGACCCTTTTACCAAAACTAGACAATTTACCAAAAACTAATCATCGTCTCTGTGAATCATGATAATCCTATAACGTTCCCCTTTTTCACTCCTTTCATTGGTGAATTATACCAAACCATAATTTCAGCATCAAAACTATTTTCTTCCGATACAACCTATGGTATGATTTTACAATCCTAAAAAAGTATAAGACAGTACAATCACAGGGTGGAGTCGATCTAACCTTGGAATACCGTCTCCATCAAATCCAGCCGGCGGAAGAGCCCACCATGGCGCAATAAGAGAAGCCGGCCCAGCCAATATTCATTCCCCGTCGTCGCCAAAAATGTTCAACTGTCTGTCACCCTACTGTCTTTCCATAATACATCGCTTCCCCCTCGTTGTTGCTACTTCAAACTTCAATTATTTCTTCTGTTTAAGATAAGGGCAACACAGATTTCACCTTTTCGTTGCTGCGTCGTCAGCAGATAAGGGGCTCTCGATTATTGGCTCCAATTAGCATCATGACCCAGGAGAGCGATGGAGCCTTGAATTTGATGGCGTCTTTTGGGGCACTGAAGGAAATGAACAGTGTTGAGACGACCAAGGATTGAAGCCTGGATTGAAGCACGTGTCTCTCCAGTGCCTCTTCTTCTTCTTCTTCTCCTCCCATGTTAACTACAGCCAGCCAGCAATGAATTTGGCACCAGAAAATGACACTCATGAAATAGTAAGGCGCTAAAAAAGGGGAATAAAGAAAGAAGAAAAAAAAAAAACAGAATCCAACTGGCAACTGGTACTTGCCGCCCATGTCTCCCATTTGCACATGCCAGCATCCACGAGTCACTGTCCCCCCAATTTCCCTCCAGACAAGGTCCCCTATCCACAACAAGCAAGGGAAGGGAGGGAAAAAAAAACGGGTGAAGATGATAAAAAATAATAATAACCTTATCCCAACACGAACAAGAATGAACCACAAGAGCACATGCTACTCTGAGAGCTGAGAGAGAGAAGACTATCGAGTGGCAGATTACCCATTTTCAGCTTAAGGAGGGAGAAGCTATGGAATCCTTGAGCTGCCATTTTCAGTTCACGTTTCATAGAGTTTCCAAGAATGTGAAAGCCAGGTCTTCTTCTGTCTCCTGCTCGATTCAGCCTACTCAGAGCAACATCAAGGTATGGGTTGGTTGTTATTAACAGGAGAGAAAAAAAAGAATGAATCTTTCCTTTTTCCACTTTAGTCCTTAGTGTATGAATGATGAAAAAGGAAAACAGGTAGTGATCAATGGAGCAGCAAAAGAGATAGGGAGGGCAGCTGTGTTGGCAGTTACCAAAGCCAGAGGGATGGAAGTTCCTTGGCAGCCGATTTTGTTAAAATCCATCAGCTAAGAAAATTTCGCTTGCTGATCCCGAGCTTATCTTCTCCAGAGATGGTTGCGTCTTTAATGTCTAAGCTGGGCTCTGATACCACGTGTAAGTGGGTCGAGCGCGAGACATAACTTCCTCTTTTATGATAATTCACCTTTCCTGCAAAAACCCTAATCGAGCAATCGAACGAGCAAGTGAAGAACATGAGACCAGAAATATATCTTTTGTGGAAAATGAATTGTGACTTAGTTCCGTTTGCAAGAAACAAAACTAAAAGAACCTTTGTTTAATCCGAAGTCACATTGGGCTTTAAGCCCAGTCGACTGAAACGAGAGACTTGGGCTTAAACTTAGTCAAGATTGCTCAGTCTATAACTGGTGTTCTTCTTCCTCGTGCTCCACACTTCAGTTCACCTGTAACTTGCTATTCTTCGAACCTGAACACACAAACTAGAGAACCAACACAAAGGTAGAACGATTTCCTTGATCAGCTCCCTGCCTAGTAGTCTACCTCTCAACCTGGTGTTTAAACTCCCTGTTTACACACTCAGCCTCTCAAGCTACTCTTTTTTTTTTCAATCAAAAGACTACAATTGCAACTTCAACTCTCTGCTTTTGATTTCCCTGAAAAATACACAACTAACCAGTCCTGCCCTTTCGACTTATATAGTCTGCTTCACTTGAACTAGCCGTTATAGAGGGTTGTGATTTGATTTACTTAGAATCTTCTATAGCCTTCCTTCTTTGAGAACTTCCTTCTTTGCTTTGTTTGATTTGTCGGGTCTTTCCTTCTTTGTTATTGACAAGCTTCACTCAACACATATTATACCTATAAAATTGAAATACTTATCAATTCTTTTTTGATACGCGCATCAACTAACGAGAGTATAGCGAGGATGAGAAAGTTATACATTATGCGAGCATTGGAATGATAACTTTTGGGTTCCGACGCTACAACTACTAGATTGTCCCTATTGGGATATATAAAGTCTCTTTTCAATATTTTATGAAGGACCTCATTTCAGTGAACTCTCTGCTCTTGTGAATGCATGGATAAAAACTGGCATATATTCTTTTGCATATGGGTTTTGTTTGAGATGAATCATAAAGTTGACACGCAACTCTGTGCCTTGTTGACTGTTGCCCAATAGGACTAGACTATATCCCGACGAGAAGAGGATATAACGTTATTACTTGATTAGTACACACATTTTAAGGTGGCCGAAGAAGAACTGGAGCCAGACAACGAAGCAGAAGATGGTGAGGAAGCTGCAGTAAGGGGCGTGTGAGGAGGCGAAGCATCAAGAGCTAAATGTGGATTGATGGGAAGATTAGGAGGCATCACAGTTGGAGGTGGAGAGAATCGAATGTTGGCAAGGGAACTAGAAAGTCAAGGGAGCTGGCTGGCTAGAGGAGCTCTTCCGCCTTGATATTACATCGATTGCTCTAGAAAAATCACATGACTACTAATATCCATATGGTGATTGACTGTATCATAACACAAGTAGCCCTTATGTTGATGACAGTAAGTCAGTAACCCAGGAAGATACTCCGAGCTGCTTTTGGTGACTTGAGCTTTAACAGTCATTCTTAGGAAGAAGGACGAAGCAAACACAATAAAAAATACGCAAGAAAGAATAATCAGGGTCCTTGTTATACAACCCAGAGAAAGATGACTTGTGCTCGAGAACCTTGGTAACTTTTCGAATAATTAAGTAAACCACAGTACTAACTGTTTCCACCCAAAATCTAGTAGGCACCATGGACCGAAACAAGATGACACGAGTTAGCTCAAGAACATGACGTTTCTTGCGCTCAACCAGGTCATTCTGCCGAGAGACGCTGGGATAAGACTATTGAAGAAGAATATATGATGATTGGTAAAATTACATCAAAGGATGAGAAGTAAACTCTCCACTCGGATTGATTAAAATATCTTGACCATTTTACCAAACTGAGTGATTACCATATGAACAATTTTGCTGGTAAAAGGCCCTTGCAAAATATGGATAATAAACGAGTCTCATGAGGATGACCAAGGAAAGATGCGCCGGTAAGTAAATGGTCGACGAGAGGAAGGTGTCGATCTAGGTTGGTGACCGTCGGTTGCTACCGAACGGAGAAGAAAGCTCATGTGGCACGACGAAAGAAACAAAAATTTACTGGTGAAGAAGAAACAATGATTAGGGAAACAAATAATAGAAGTGAGTTTATGAAAAGGTGATAAAGGCTATAATTGAAAAGTTTGGACTAAATAATGAGTCATTTGGAAATAACTCATGGATAGGGAGGCAGTTGGAAATAACTCAATAGGGTCATTTGAGACTATCACATGAATGAAATGACTCATGCATTTTTCTGCTAGTAAACGAGCCATTTGGTGCCAAATGGCTCAAACAAATGACCCCATAGTTTCCTCATTTACCCTAGCTACACGACCGAGGATAAACTACAATAGGTACACATAATTTGAAAATTCGTGCACCAAATCAGACTATATATTTTGGTCCAGAATGTTGATCATTAAGAATGGTCTGGTATGGTCCATTGTCCGTATGATAAGATATATTGATTTCTTGTTATAGTCTGATCTAAATCGCAGTTTACCAGATCAAACCATGGACCCAACCCACTACCCGATTGGTGTTAACAGCTCACTAGACCACTCTTCCAACTCTTCAACTAGAGCCAAGTCTCAATCCTAATTTTACATTGTTTGTCACCTCATCCATTTATAAATCATACCACTTCGAGACAATTGTGTCTCTATATGATATTATGGTGCAAGTTGGGGTGCTCTGACTTTGTGTTTTTGGTATTAATCGGGATTCACGGTATAAAAATAATGCATGTGCGTTGAAATTTATGTTTAATGGAAAAATATATTTTTCTCGGTTAATGGTTCACTTTTTTATGTGGTTGACTAATCAAACTTTTTATTTTTAACTTAATGTGGTATGCATGGACCAGATCGCACATGCGTAATATGATCTGGACATAATACTAGTAGTCTAAAAGCTGTAGGTCCCAGATTCGAATTTTTTAAATAGTACCTTGATCACAAAAAAAAGTAAAATCTTTAGCACCATTATATAAAAAAAAAATAGTCTTTGGTCTACTTTCCAACTTCATGGTCTATCCCATAGCCTGTATGCATGATGGAGCGGTCTAGTCTAGACCGTTTCCGAGCCCTGTGTGACACCAAGGCTTTGTGGATTTACTTGGGCTTTGGAGCTGCCGTGGCTGAGTCCTTGTTGTAAGGGCCCAACCCAAGGCAACCTCAGATGCTGTGCTCCGCAATAATTTTATTTTCTTGTTAGCTGCACACCGCAATTTTTCTCTTCGCATTTGTTGAGGCCTTAATCTTTTGTTCATGGAAACCAGCCACAACCCATAGGTATAGCAGAACTCTGTGGGCAGAAAAGTCTACTTATTCGGCCCATGAGATTAAGCCGGCCCTAGATAAATTATTTTCGTGCTGGACTACCAGATTTGATCGTCTGCAAAAGACACACCAATTTCTTTTAGTCCAGATAATAACTTGGTTTAAATATCATCAGATACGAACCACAATTTTAATGGCCATTAGTATTAATGTTCTTGTGCACACAAAGGTGTCCATTGAATTATATTGGTACAGTTTAGTAACTTGGTTGGTTATCGTCTCTTCAATTTTCTAATAACGTTGACGTATAAGAAAAAACTATTTTGCTTTCCTAAAACACTCAAATCTCACTTCTCGTACATTAAATCACTTGGATCTCATCCAACCGCTGGAGTTTTTTTTTTTTTTTTAGCTACGGTTCTCTACCACTTTAGCTAATTACCATATTGCTTACTGGATTGAAACAGAAACACGCAGTTGTGTAGCTGAAAATTAGGGGTGACTATTTGGTCCGGGTTTTTTTGTTTTATCCGAAATCGGATCGTATAACCCGGACCGAGACCGGATAGTAAACATCCAATCTCGTTTTCGGGCTTAGTTTGAGGTTAAAAATCTTTCGGGACCGGACCGGAAACCGAATAAAGACTGGATAAGAGAGCCCAACACCCATAAACTAACTAACTCCTCACCCTTCTAGACCTCAGCCTACTAAAACCCCCACAAGCAGTGGCGGATCCAGGGGGTGGCCTCCCCGGGCCCCGGCCCAGCCCTCCTCTGGATCCATAGTTAGTATAGGCCTTATGAATTTTTTGATATTAGGTATTAGGCCCAATGCTATTTTTATAATAAAATTGGATATAATTAGCAAATTGATTTAGATGAACATATTCAAATCACATCTCTAAATTTAGCCAAGAAATTCTAGCCCCAAAGTTTTTTCGTCTAAAAAAAATATTGAAACCTAAAATTCTAAAGCATAACAGACTAAAAGAAATATAAGGTTTGTTACCTTGAAAATTTACAAGACAACTGGTGGTATAGGGATGGACACATAATGCAAATTGATATTGATTTGTCTAGTGTTGATGCTGCTTGTTTCAACAAGTACAAAGAGAACCTGAGAGAACCTTTTGAACAAAGAAACATGTAAAAACTGATATGCACAATAAATGAGCGATGAATTTCTTGCCAATTGCTCAAGTATTTTATTTGGGACAGTGTATACTATTGGTATGGATGTGGACTACATTATTGATACATTTTCTAAATTAAGATACCGTTGTGTACGATTTACATTGTAAAAAACTATAATCATTAATTTTTTTATGGTTCTAATAATGCGGCCCAGTGCTCTTTTGTGTTCTGGATCCGCCGCTGCCCACAAGTTCAATCTAAAATCAAGACCGAATTGGGACTGGATGGATCAAGACCAGACTGTATCCAATCCAATCTTCAGTGTTCATATTCTCGAAAAGACCGGACCGAAATCGGAACAATTCAAACCAATTTAACCGGACCGGACCGTAAAGCCACCTCTACTGAAAATGACAATTATGACAATAATTAAGAATCCATAATTCAAACACGTGATGAGGAGCTTTTCTAAATTTGACGTCTTCTCTATATAGTATATCTTGCACTAATATTTTACACGCAATTAGTCGTGGGCAAAAAAACAAAGGGGAAGAGTGTGCATGGCGTGTGCAAGATGCAAATGCCGATTGCCGCGGATAGGGTAGCCGTCGCAGTAACAGTAGGCAGGATCTGGGGCTGCCTGTTACCCACCACCACACCGAAATCCCACTAACCAGACCACCTTTATATATACTGTTTTGCCACGTACCGCTCCACTCGATCATTACTAACCGTAGATTAATTCACTAAACGCGTCTTAAAACTTCTCACTCTACACTTTACAGTTGTAGGTCTAAAAAGCTACAGGCAAAAATATATCTGATACTTCACAATCATATCCTAGGCTGCTGTCAATTGTCCTAACAGAAGCTATCTCATCAAAATTCTACATATTGACAAAATGGTTACTACGTATAGTAGCGTGAGGTGATGAGAGAATGCTAGTTTTTAGAAGAGACTTTTCTCGTACGTATAGCCTATAGGAGACTTGACTGCTGAGCCCATAGATAATTTAGGTGCGTAGAAGAAGGAAAGAAAAATAATTGATATAGGCATATAACTGCATGCGTTGTTCTTGTTGCTTTGTTACATTTTCGTTACGGAAGGAAGCGGGAAAGACTGAAATTTGATTAACACTGTTGTTATGACTAGTGAGTGATATAGTCAGATTTGAACTTGAGTGGGATTCTGAATGAGTCGGTTACATAGAAGCCAAGGGATGCATGTAAGCGCTTTTAGTATGTTGAGCGAGGTAATTCAATTTGGGGTAGGCTTGTCAATGGGCAGGCCTATTGGGTCTTTAGACCCAAATACCTTGACTCATATGGGCATTGGATTTGGACCCAAATGGATCCAAATTTTTTTTTACTTTTTTGGGTTGGGTTGGGTTTAAATTGGGTTCAGAATGGGCCTGTATATTTGGGCCGACCCAAATGGGTCCATTTGGGTATAAGTTAGATTTTGGTAAGTTGAAAGTCCTGCATATTAGAAAACAAACCCAAATAATATTTCTAAATCTTAGTCTCCCATAAACATCCTCAATGGTAGGGGTGGCTATTTGGACCGGGACCGGATGAAAAACCGGAAACCGGACCGTATAACCCGGACCGAGACCGGACCGGGACCGGATAGTAAACAATCCAATCCAATTTTTCGGCTTAGATTTGAGGTAAAAAATCGGATAAAGACCGGATAAGAGAGCTCAACATCCAAAACTTAAGGGTAATTTGCATAAACGGTCACAAACCTTTGCACTTAGTACAAAACTTAACCAACTCCTCACCCTTTTAGGCCTTAGGCCACTCAAATTCCCACAATCTCAATATAAAACCAAGACCGAATTGGGACCGGACCGGGTCAAGACCGGACCGGATCAAGACCGGACTGTATCCAATCCAATCTTCGGTCCTTATATTTTCAAAAAAACCGGACTGGACCGGATCAATTTGGGCCAATTTAACCGGACCGGACCGTATAGCCACCCCTACTCAATGGTAGAAAACAGAAAATACCAACTCATGGTTCATGTTCACGTTCAGAAGGGAAAAAAAAAGTAAAAAACATCTCAATGTCTGGTACTTGTCCTCCAACTCTTTCAACTCAGAATCGCATCTCTGTCGTAGGAAGCAAGCAGCCTTCTCTGCCATGCAAAATTACAGCATGTCACGAGACCATAAATAATTACCAATTAGCGAAAAATGGGCAGAAATGAAGGTGCCACATAGTAATGAGTTCAATCAATTAACATTGCAACCCCCAAACTGTAGCATTTCTACAGAATAAGCAACAATGTAACACCAACACTGCACTTTCATCTGCTACAATACATTGTTTAGGGGCCTAATGAATCCTAGGTCTAACTAAAACTACATGAAGAACTATAGTAAAGCTTCATTTGATGAGTAGACTATTGGCATATACACACGGCGACTTCATGACAGAGATATATCTTTAAACACAATAGAGTGGAATCTACTCTCTTCCCCAATCCCTCTATAGCTACGTTGAGGCTACAAGGCAGAAGGGATGGGTGGTGCAAAGAAGAAGGGAAGAAGGGATCTCGTATTCATTGCTCAAAAACAAACAGTGAGTAAAGTCAATTCGGAAATAATGCATATATATGCAGATACATATTCTCAAAAGGACAAGTGGGCAAAAGTCAGCTGGAAACTCACCTCTTGGCACCGCTTCAATTGTCATGCTCCTCCCCATCTTCATCAAAATCTGCATCTTCCGCGTTCTCATCGTCTATAGTTGCATGACTCAAATCATGAGTAACTTTGGACACACCTATGTCAAAATTGAAACCAATTAGTAACCAATGATATACAATGTTATACCTTTGATAAAAACATAAATCATATACCTTTGACCTCATTTAGTAACCAATTTTGAGAACACATCAACGCCTCGATAGCATTAGCGTCAAGTCGACTACGATGCGGACTCAACAATCTCCCACATGTGCTAAAAGCAGATTCCGAAACAACTGTCGTCACGGGGATGGCTAGAATATCTCATGCTATCAACCTCAAAGTTGGATACTTGAGCCCTTGATTCTTCCACCAAGCTAATATATCAAACTCATCACTTCTTGGTATCACCCCATCACTCAAATAAGTGTCAAATTCTACTTTCACATTTGAAACTCTATGATCACCGCTTACAAACCTATCAAATCCAGCAAGAAAATCATCATCCACTTGTTGACTCGACCCAGAAAACATAGTTATACCACTTGCAAACTCCTCATTAGGTTCTGAACTCTTGTACTGATTAAGCAAATCATAAACAATATCTTTAATCATCTTCAGATGGTGTTCAGCCAAAACACCATAAATTGGTTCAAACGCCCATACCAAAATTTTCATCTTGTATCTAGGATCTAGAATTGCAGCAACTGCCATCATTCCATGAATGATATCCCAAATTCCCAATAATCATCAAACTTCTCCAACATTCGTGATGCCATATTTGCAATATATGTATCAGGAGATAACACCCATTGATTCAAAGAAACCTTTATCTCACAAACCTTGGGAAAAAAATATTGGCAGTTGGATAGGTAGAACCTGAAAACACTTCTGTGATGTTGTAAAACAACTTTAACTTCTCACAAATCTTTTCTGCCATAATCCACTCATCTTCACTTGGCACAGTAGTATAACCTGAATCTCGTAGTCTCAACCGAGGAAAAATCTCTTTGTAATCCAAGGCAGTAGAAAGCATTAGGGGTGGTAAACGGTAAGCCGGTAAACGGTTTACCGTTTTACCGAACCGGTAACCGGCGGTAAACCGTTTACCGGCGGTATCGGCAGCCGAGCAGGAACTTGGGCGACTCGGTTTACCGGACACGGTATCGGTAAATACCGACGGTAAGTCGGTAATACCGATACCGAAATCCTCTCTTCCCCTGCGCTGCATTTTGCTTGGCCCTCCCAAAGGTAAGACAAGATTCGGTACCCTCCGGTGAGATCCGTGGAGGGCATGCAGGTTCCAGTGAAGAGATCCTTCTTCTCGACTTTGGACAAATCGAAGAGGACGGGGAAGCTTTTCCCGTCGAGCAGGACGATGACGCGAGGGTTGGTGGCGATGAAAGGCCCCGGGGCATGTTGACTCGGTAGACCGTTGACTGGTACTTCTGCATTCGGGATTTGAAGAACTCGTTGCGGCCTTGGTTGTAGAAGTAATCGAGGCGGTCTTGGATGGGTCCGACTCCAGGGAGGCCATAGTCGCCCGAAATCTATCGGGTTGGGAGAATGGATTCAGGGGACGATGACGGGGGACGGCTTGGTCAAACCTGGGATTCAGGAGAGTGGGGATTTGTTGAATATGGAGGCTTTGATTGGACGGAGGGAGGAGGGGAATCTTTTGGCGGTGGTGAATCTGTGGAGGGTGGAGTGGGTTTAGGGGATTGCTGGAGCTTTGGGTTGACGGCGACGAAGTTGAGAGAAGAGGATGTCATTTTCGTTCGTCCCTAGGAAAACCCCTACCCAGCGACCCAGCCATCTCCGCCACCTTCCGGCTTCCCTGCCGCCCGAGGCTGCTTCTCACGGTATTTCGGTATTACCGGTTTGTAACCGTTTACCGGTAATTCGGTAATCGGTAAACCGGTTACAAACCGGTATCGGTAATCGATTCCAATTTAGCCACTGTCGGTATACCGAAACCGGTAAATTCGGTAAACGGTAAACCGTTTACCGACCGAATACCACCCCTAGAAAGCATCACATAAGTAGAATTCCAACGAGTCCTACAATCAAGAGCTAATTCTTTTGATTCAATGTGTCTTTGACTCGCCAAAAGAGTGAAATTTTGTCGTCTTTTTGGCGAAGCAGCCCAATAGACAACACTATCACGCACTTTCTCAATACAAGTCTCGATCATAGATAATCCCTCATGAACTATTAAGTTTATAATATGTGCTGCACATCTCATATGAAAAAGAGAACCACCCAAGAGAAGTGAACTCGCTTGTAGCTTCTCTCCTAGAAGAGATCTAACCATTGCATCATTAGTACTACAGTTATCTAGAGTGATAGCCGATAGCTTGCTATCGATGTTCCATGCAGTCATACACTCAAAAAGTACTTCACAAAGCACATCTTTTGTATGAGGAGAGGGAACATAGCAAAATCTCAAAATTCGATTATGAAGACTCCATGAATCATCAATATAATGTGCAGTAACAACCATAAACCCACGTTTATTGTTGTTTGAGGTCCACATGTCTGTTGTAATGGCTACTCTACTACTGTTTCTCTCCAATTCCATCATAACATGAGTCCTCCCTTCCTTATAGATCTTCAAGATGTCACTTCTAACTGTGTTTTGAAATCATTTTGAATGCAGGTTGAAGAGAGCTTACAAACTTTCTTACACCAACATAATTAACCACATCAAGTGGAAACCCATGCAAGATAATCATGTTGGCAAGATCCCTTCTACTATTCTCTTGGTCAAAGATATATGGACTGGAACTTCTACTAGCACCTAACTTCTTTTTCAACAAGTTATACAAGTGCTTAATCTTAGGGCATCTTCGCAAGTGCTTGTCTAAATGAGTAGTTCCATGCACAGCTGAAAGCATTTTCTTGCAATGTTGACATTGAGCCTTTAACTCTCCTCTAAATAATACTTTCTTAAAGTATTTGCATACATGAGACCTCAATTGTTTACTGCCATTAGAAACTACTGTAGGAGCTTCACTATTGCTTTCCCCAGAATCTGTATGAGAATTTTCAGGAACCTCAAATAATTCAATAATTTCATCTATTTCTGAAGCCATTTTCACTTAACCGGAATAACATAACATACCAATATTACCACAAGACACATCAAAGATATGAATAAAGAGATGCATTTCTAATCCAAGAAGCAATTTACAGTTTCATAAGACACATCAAAGATATGAACTATTTATGCTGTTGAGTTCAAAGTCAGTACACCAAGATGGGTTCAAATCATGAGAGATTTTATCTGCAACCAGAGTTTTAGAAGTTACCTTGATCCTCGAGCAGCTTAGTAAGTCTCCCCTTCTCCTCTACAAAAACTTTACTCACTACCTTCCTTTCAGTTCTAAGACCAGCCAATTCCTTCTTCGCTGGAAAACAAGCCCAAAGACACCAAGACTCCTACGACGAATCCGGTGGACTTTTTGCTGGTGCTGAGGTGGGTTGATTTCAGTGGGCTGGAGGGAAGGATGTGGGCCGCTCACAAAGGGACCGATGAGTTCTTCCAACGTCTGATTGAGGAGCACCAGAGTAGCTATGGAGAGAGGGAAGGCAGCAACGAGAAGACGATGATCGATACTATGTTGAATTTGCAGGAAGCTGAACCTCAAGTCTACACCGATGAGATCAACAAGCTTCCTCTCGCCGCGAAGCTTCCTCTCGCCGTCGCCGACCCAGATGCAATTGCCGACACAACCCCGCCGTCAACCGACTGAACCGACGCAAACCCAGAACCAATATACAAAAAAAAAACCCCCCAAAACCAAAGATGAGACAAGTAAACCAAACCCAGAGGAACAAAATGTTAGAGCGCGAGATACAGGGGAAAAGAAGAACCGCGCAAACAGAGAGGGGGCAAGATCTAGAAGAGAAGAAGATGGGGCAAACCTGGAGATCGAGACCAGCACGAGAAGAGCGAGAGGTGAGTTTCTTCTACTCTTTGTCCTATCCTTAGATAATTGACACCAGCTAGCTTCTAAACGGACCGGACAATTCCACAGCCTCGGGGTCCGATGGTGGGGAAAAGGAGAAGCTGCCGGCGTGGGGGCCGATGGTCGCTGATCGAGAATCAGGATTGCAGGCCGGCGGCGTCTTCGGGGCTGATGGTCACTGATCGAGAATCGGATGCAGGCGGGCGGCGGCGGCGGGATACGATGGTGGAGAAGCAATCGCTCTCGTTAAGGGTATTAGGTCGAAGGATGAAGAGACCCATTTGGGCTCTGTAGAGATTTTTTTGTTTTTTTTTAATTAATTTTCTGGGCCTATCTTGGACCCAATTTAATTGGATGGGTATGGGTCTGCTCCAACACAGAAAAACCCAAAACCTGATTTGACCCAAATTCAATTGGGTTTGGGTAAAATTAGAGGTGGCAATTGGATTGGTTTCGTGGATTGGATTGATGGATCCATAGATCAAATGGATTGGATCCAATGGATTGGTGGATTCATGGATTGGATCAAATGGATTGGTGGATTGATCCATGAATCCAAATGACATACAAGGCTTGGACCAAAATCTAAAATTTGAAAAGTTTTGGTACTAAAATGTCATAATGAAAAATTTTAGGTACCAAAATGTAGTTTTCCAATGATATTTTTCGTATAAAAATATAAATTTTAGGTATCAAAATGTAAAGTATAAAAAATATAGGTACCGAATCGTAATTTGCCATTTGGATCCATGGATTGATCCATGAATCCACAAATCCAATTGGATTTGGATCAAATGGATTGGATTTAAATGGATTGGATTAGGTGGATAATTTGATGGATGAATTGGATTGGATTCATGGATTTGGATCCTAATTGCCACCTCTAAGTAAAACTCATATCCTAAGACCCATTTGACATGCCTAATTTGGGGTCTTGATTCTGATTCACAGCAAACGTACACACGAGCGTTTTCAGCTCATAATTGTCCCCAAGTGGAGTCCTGGGACCTCGATCCCTAGTCCAAACCGAGCTTAAAGGGTATAGTTGGAATTTGGAAGTCAAGTATGTTAGTTTGTTAGCTGAGTTAGATGTTTATTAGCTGGAATATCAAGGGTCAGGGGGGTTAATGAGTTAATGGAGGTCAGATTTACAGGTTGAAGCTCTTGTATTTAGCATTCCAAATTTACATTCACTAAACTTTGTCTGTTTGCCCCCAAATCGCGTTGACAAAATAACTGTTTTACATATTTGAGCACAGATTATCTGTTTACACATTCATGCATGGCGCGTGTCGTTCCTGGAGCTAGCTTCTAAGG